TGACTTTGTTGCTGCTCGGACTGCAAGATGTTGTTTGTGTCTTTTCTTATCGTGCACAATCGGCCATGCTGATGTTCCTTTGCAGCCGGAGCTTTAAGCTCACACATGGATGAGTTCGCATGCTTTGATTCCGCTAAAGGAGAAACGAATAATTGTGGTGCTGAACAAGACTATTCGCTCAGCAGCTTTCGCTTCGCATAGTCTCAGACTGTGAATAGGAAGAGAGCTTAGTGAACAGACCGTGTAGGGAGACGCTCTGTCGACAGACACCATCATGGCCGACCGCGGTAGTCCTCCGAAGCAGTATGTTTCGACAATGTCAGAGGTTTTCGAGTATGTTAAGAAGCAGTGGAGTGAATGCGGCCGCACCATTGCAGGCGAGAGAGGCTATGCGGCAGTACATTTGCAATCTGTTCGCAAATCACATCCGGCATTTCCCATATTTATGGTTGCATTGGCCGGCTGTGTCGTGTGTTGCAACGGTGCTCGTCTACGGCTGTGGGGAAGCCTGGCGCCTATTGTGCTATGGGTGATAAACTGCAATTACACGCAAACTCGCAAGAGTGGACTCGCTGGAATTGTGGAAGTATTCGCTACAGTAGTTGACAAGCGCGTGCGCAAAGCTTTCAGACATATTCACCGGCTCAAACAAGTTTCTGCAACGAACCCTGTCAAAGTCGAGCCTGCTGTCCGAACAGTGCAGGAAGATGAACAGGCCGTTTGCAGCGTGCCCCCGATGCAGGAAGTTGTTCCTGCTGAAGCTTCGCTTCCTAGTGTTCCTATGGCTCTATGGAGCATTGCGTACCTAGGAGGTACCATTGACCGCTGCAAAGAACGATGTGCCGGAGATTTCAACTTCTGCCAATCAGTCAAAGCCTTCAAAGACTTGCCATCGGTAACGGAGTCGAACCTATCGGCATCACTACGAGAAGTCGCTGAACGCAGCGGGCTGTCCGGAAGAACTTGGTTTAGTTCGCTGCTTATGTTTGACGAGATCTACGACTTCTTGATGGATCTGGGGGTGTTGGATAACACGTCCAAAAAGTCTTCAGCTGGCCCAGACACTTCCGGGCAAACGCCGAACTCGTCATGGGCGAACAGGCTCATGCAGACAGGCACATCGTCGCATGAGACGAAGACGAACGGATCGTTTGGAGGCATCGACTCGCCGACCGTTTGCACCGC